CTAATGGTCCTGGCTTCCCGAATCCTTATTGGCCAGTTTGGAGCTAGTATGGGCTTTTTGGTTTTGTTTGGTTTGCTTTTTGTTTTGTTCTTCTTGTGGCTGTTTGCTTTTGGGTTTTTGTTTACTTGTTTGTTTCCCTAATTATGAAGGTTGATCCCAGGACTTCATGCATGCTAGGCAAACACTCTGTCACCGAGTTTCACCCTAGTCCCAGAAGTATATGTTTAAAAAAATGTGAGCCACTAAGCGAATGAAAATTTGGGCTCAAATTTAAGGCCCTCTTTTGAAAACGCCTGTGTCCTCATTCAAGCAGAGGCACAAAGCAAATGGAGTCATCAGCTTCTTGTGCAAACCCCAAGAATCTCTCTCTGAAGTAGAGAAGAGCCCCATTGAAAACTCCATGGGGCCAGGACATAGCTGCCACTTGCTTCAGCTCAGGCTGTCACAAGAATCATGCCCTGCTCACGCTCTGGTTACAGTTGCTAAAATGGAAGTCCTCATGTAACACTACTGTAGCTCATATACCTTGTCCGAAATCCCAGGACAGGCTGTTGGGGAAGTTACCCCCCACTCCCCACCACATACAGACCTCCTGTTTTATAGTGGATCTCAGTCTACCTGGTTGGGTGGCCACATGTCTTCTAGAGGTTCTCAGGATTTAGATTTAAGAGCTGTGACTTGTCTAGAAAGCCATGTCAACCCACTGCCTGAGATTTCAAGGCTCCCCTCAAATGGGGTGGGCATATATAACCATCCAAAGAGTATATAACAACAGTTCTCTAAGGGTCACTGCATCTAAAATGTCTACAAAAGCAGCACAGGAGTGTCTGTGGGGCCTTACTTAATTTGTAGGCAAAGAGTATTGCCCTGACTTGTCTCTTAGGCAAGGAGCAGCCTCTCCCTTTTTGCCAAGCCTACAAATAAGAGCATGTCTAAAGGGGCAACTGGACTCTGATAAGGAAATGAACTTATTTTAGCAATAAATATCTAGGCTGGCATTTCTAACAGCTGCGGGTGAGCCCTGGGAAAGATGGGACAGAGGAGGGCAAGGCAGGGCAACCAGGAGCCTACAGCCTTCTGGAGGGAGGCAAGAGAGGCTATTCATGATTACTCTGCTGAGTATAGGGGCAGGAACAGTGAGAGACCACAGGCTATTTCTAGAATCTTCCAAAGGTAGGGATGGGGTGATGTTAGATGATGGGGCACCTCAACTCCACTCCTGTGTCCTTGGAGCCTTGGTTTCTTTATCAAGAAAAGGATGCTAGGAAGGCCTTAATGTGTGTGACCATTGAAAGGCTATGCAAGAAAACCTACTATTAAACTGAATCTGAGAGTGAGTGGTACTTCTTAAGGGTTTCGGATGCTGAGCGGCAATAGCAACATGACAGGATTGTAAAAATAGGGTCTTCCTGGGAAAGTGACTCCAAAAGAAGACCACAGAGTCAGCTAACCTGGACCTATGGGGTTCCCAGAGACTCAACCACCAACCAGCAACTATGAGATGGATTCCCACATATGTTGCAGGTGTGTAGCGTAGTCTTCATGTGTGTTCCCAAATAACTGGAGCAGGGACTGTCCCTCAATCTGCTGTCTGCCTGTGGATCCCATTCCCCTCACTGGGCAGTCTTATCTGACCTCAGCGGGAGAGGCTGTGCCTAGTCCTGCAGCAACTTAATGTGCCAGGGTGGGTGGGTTGGCACCAGGGGTGGGGAGAGCTCCCCCTTCTCAGAGAAGGGGAGTGGGGAGAAAATATGTGAGGAAATTCTGGGAGGAGGGAAGATGCTGCAATTGGGACGTAAAGTGAATGAATTAATGAAAATAAATAAGTAAATGAAAAAATAGGATACTGCAGGGCACTTCTAATTTCTCAGTGATGATCAAGAGTCATATGAAACAAGAAAGGTCTATTTTGAGTACCACCTTCCTTCAGGGTAAGATATAGCGATCACTATTCTTAAACTCAAACTGAATCTATTGAGTCATAAAATACAAAACTGTGAGGCGTGTATAAAGTAGTACTGGAGGTGTTAAAAAATGTTATGCCACACCCCAGATTGGCCACACCTTCCTCCTCACCACTTCAGGGGAACCAGTGGGGCTCCAGAGACCTGGTATTTCAAAGATGTCCTCACACCCTAACAGAGTGGGGAACTCACCAATCCCTGTCTCCCATGGTCTGCTTCCTCTTGGGGAAAGGAAGAGTTTTTTATTTTCCTAAGTGATCTTTAAAGTTTCCATTTTTGAGTCTATGACAGTGAATCAGGAAATTTTTAGGGAATGAATGGAAAGAGATCTGTCATAGTCCAGGAATTTCGTGTGGTCCAGCATCCCCTACTGTGTAAGGGGAAGTTGGCAGAAAATAGAATTTTTTTCCCCCTTAGCTGCCAGAGTCTCCCAACACATCAATTCCTCACTGTGCTTCAGAAGGAAGTAGATGTCCTGTGTGTACCCGGGAATAACTGAATGAATGGAGACACTTCAGCACAGATGGGCTTGCTTCCTTAATTCTTCACGTGGGAAGACTTAGCCTGCACCCTAACTGCCAATGCTCAGAGGAAGCGGAACGGTGCCTGCTGCCCCCAAGTCCCAAGACTCTCAGATAAACCCCTCTTTATTAACAACAGAGGTGCAATTTCCTAGCCATGATCTTTTGGAAAGGCAGAAGAGATATGCAAGTGGACACTTGTCTCCTCTGCCTTCAACCAAGGCCACTTTCTCCCCTGGGGGAGAAGTTGCTTGACTGCCTCTGCCACTTCTCTACTGTTTGACTTCCCAACGCACCATTGGACACAGCATTGGACGGTTTCTCCTCTTACTCCACCCCTTCCCAACCCCCTCCTCAGACCCCCCCCCCAACTTTGCCCAGCCTCAGTGCTTCCTCATTATCTTCCCAACCCAGTCACTCCCAGAATGGGGCAATCATGACGCCTCTCTTCTCCCTCCCCTCTCTCCTTCCCCTCTGTCTACCCAGACACACACTGTGTACTAAGTCGCATCTCATTTCTGAGTCTCAGTTCCTTTCCGACAGCTTTACAAGGGCAAGAAAGCCAGGGTCCAGGGAGCCGATGCTGCTCGCGCCCGCCCTACTTGTCCTGGAGCCACACCCTACAACAGAAAGGTAGAAACCCCAAGGCAGAAGAGAGCCTGCCTGCCGGCCTCAGGACCTGACTGAGGGGTGGGGGGCGGCGGAGGAGGTGTCAGAAGGGCAACAAGGTATCTGGGAGTAGGCCTTTTAGGACAGCTTGGAGACAGGCCAGGAAAAGGCAGAGTTCAACTCCTCGCCCCAACAAAGGTGGGAGTAGAGTACCAACCTTCCTCCTGTCCTCTGAGGCCAGGTCCAGGGCTCCTCTGCCCTTCCCTCATCCATCCTGAATGTTTCTGCCTTCCAAGGCCCCTTGGAGCTCTGGCTCCCTATGGAAGCCTCCACTGCAGCCTCTGTTGGCCAGAAGGCCACTTTCCCTGAAGGTCTTTTGGACTTTGTCTAGCAATGGCATTTACATGTCCCATGGCACTCTAAGCTATGGCACTTAGTGAACCCGAGTTCACACCCAGCACCATCCCTTGCTGTGTGAATAGGGAGAAGTCACCAAGCCTCTCTGAGCCTCTGTTTCCCTACTGGTAAGACTGGGCAGGGACTTTCTCACCGAATCACCATTAGGGTAAAATGAGATAGCATATGTGAAGTGCCTAACACAGAGCCTGGTACAGCAAAGGGGCACAAAAAATGTCCAGTAGTGTTGTGCTGCTATTATTATTTGCACTTCTGCATCAGTATTCAAAATTTAAGATTCAACAATGGAGGTGCAATTTCCTAATCCCTACCTACAATATCTAAAAAAAAAAAAAAAAAAGAAAGAAAGAAAGAAAGAAAGAAAGAAAAAGAAAAAAGAAACCAAACAAACAAACAAAAAAAAACCAAACCAGTTTGACACCCCCTTAGCCCTTACCCCCCAAGAACTGGATTTAATAAATTCTTGCTGAGAGGAACTCACTGTAGTTTGAGCTGACTTAATGACCTAGCTGGCACTTCTTAAAAGACTAATGAACTATGCTGATGATAAACAAAGCCTTCGTGGAATAATCCGTTCATATATAGATAAAGGAGGGGAATGCTTGGAATTGCGCCATACTGAATACTTGGCCCCAGCTCCTCCCCTCCACTGCCACCAAAGCCACCAACCTCATTTAGATGAGACATTAGGGACTGCGCTAAAGTTCATGTGTTACCCTGATACAGGTCCGAAGCTGCCAGGCAGCGAATATGAACCCTGCTGCTGTTTGACTTTACCTAGATTGGCAAAACCAGGGGACTGCAAGCACTGGGCGGCTGGTCTAATTATTGTTCCTGTTATGTGTTCTAGGTCCATACTGGAACCTTTTGGGCACTCAGAGCCTCACACAGAACCAGTTCAAACTCCCACAAGCTAAAATAAAGCAGTCGGTGACCAAAGCGGACTATAAGATCCCTGAAAACTAGTCTAAGCCGGGACCCACTCTCTTCAGCTTTCTGAGGCTCCTTTCTGAAAAGCTCATTGCCAAACCTCTGGCCTACAGCTATGTGAACACCTTGGGGAGTGCTCTACAGGTCCCCTCTCTAGCTCTGCCCCAGTCCCTGGCTCTACCCTGCTAGCCACAGCCAGTCAGGCTCCGGAGCCCTTGAGCATCAGAGCCTGCTAGTCCAGACAGAGACTGCGCATCCAAGAGTACAGTTACTTTGGAGCCATGTGCTCCAGCAAGCGTCGGGGACCTCGCCCAAAATCTGCGGGCGGGCAACCTGCCCAGCAAACTTTCTTCTCCCTTTCTCTTTTCCTTTCACAAAAGCAGCGCTTCCCAAGCGCAAACTCTTTCCAATAGCGCAGCCCCAAACTCCAGCTTGTCTTTGCTAGCCCAGTTCACTACAGTTCCTCCCTGGGCGATTCAACCCAGAGGCATCCAACTGGAGTCCTCAGGCGCTCGCTCAGCGTACGCATCCCCGCTGCCCAGGCTGGCGGGCCACTCACCGATCTGTGGCTGTGCCAGGCTCAACTGCAAGAGGCAAAGTCCCCACGCTGTGTGCCACCAAAACTTGTCCATGGTGTGCGGGATGAAACGGAGAGATCTAGTCGCCTCTGGAAAAGGGTCGCGGGGAGAGGGGCAATGAGGGTGAATGGAACCTGTCACTGGCTGGGGGCCGCTGGGCAATGAGACCGCCTCGGAAGTTGGCTGTGGTTTTTATTCCAGGCTTTGAAAGAATGACCTAAGAGGGAGGGAGCGCGCGAAGGACACACCCAAAGCGAGGGGGCTGTGACTAAGCAGCCAACGGAAGTTTAAAGACACACTAGCCTGCTTTCGCTGCTGCCCCTGCGCCCCTGCCGTGCTCTCCTGGGATGGTGAGAATGGCTGCCACCCCCGTGCGCCCACGTCCCCCAGGGCCACTCCACAGGCTTCCTACCTCGGCCCAGACCGCCAGCCTATAAGGAGGCTGCCTGGGACAAGGAGAATGACTGAGTCCTATGACCTCGCCCCTCTGAATTAAATCTTCCAGTTTCTCCTTTGACACTAAACTTCTGGGAACCTGGCTAGGGAAACACTGGGTTTCCCAGGAAGCTGGATTTATCTTAAGCAGGAGCTGAGAAAAAATAGAGAGAGATCCGTCCCGGTGGATAGTGCCTTCCTGGTCAGGGTGGGGATTGAAAATTGGGGAACTTGTGGGAGTGTCCTTTCCTCTTTCCCTCTGAGAGAAGTCCAAACCACTCGGCGGATCTTGGATCTTTGCTGGGGAAAACCCAAGGATGCCCAACACATTTCATTCATGCTCTCAAATATCTACCAATTCCTTACATCCTTCTAGGACTCACACATCCACCCATCCTCTCTGTCCACCCACCGTCCTCCTGCAAATGTACTAATCTAGCCATACTACATCTATCTCCCAATTCTTGTATTCGCCCACCTTACAACTTAACTTTTCACGCACCATTCCATAAATCCTTTTTACACCCCTCCTAAGCTCACATCCGTTCGTCATTATTTCCCATCCATCCCGGTGCATGTACACGTTTCCCGGCTCTCCTTCTACCCATCCGCATATCCACTCACACATTTAACTTTCCTTTCTTGTTTGCATTTCACACTCCTTTTGCTGCAAACTGTTATACATTCTCCTTTATTGATAAATTTCAAAGAGGGGTGTACGTACGTTGCCATAGTCTTCAAGGGAGGTATTCCAAGGCTGAAAAGGGGGAAATCCTATTTAAAATCACAATTCCCTGTCTTCCCTAATACCTTACGAGTTGCAGTTTGGATATCAAAAGCTCTATTTTTTAATGAGAACTAAATCTAAGTGGACTTCTTGCCGAGTGAGAAACACAGAAGGCATGGCCGTGGCAGGACCCGGAATGAATCATGCCAGAATTTCTGAGGGAAAATGATATTTTGGGATTTACTGAAAGAAACTGAAAAAGTGAGAGAAATGTACCCTACCACCTGTCCATCCATTTATTCGTCAAGCATGTAATGAGTGTCCAAGGGTTGCAAGAGAAGCAAAGCCTGATTTGTCTCCAGGCAATAGCTCAGTCACAAGCCAGCTGCTGCCTGCAATAGAAAATACGCTGTAAAACTACAACTAAGACTGGAAAGATGGCTCAGTGATAAAGTGCTTGCTACCAAGCATGTGATCAACTTAGATCCTTGGAACCCACATGGTAACTTAGGCAAGTTGTCCTCTGCCTTTCACAGGCATGGCATAAGTGCACACGCACAGTAACTGTTAAAATGATTAAAAAGAATCATTTTACTTTTCAGCCAACTTTTTGTGTCTACAGACTAAAAGTATTCATAAGAATTGCATTTGTTCAGAGCAGCTACAAGCTTTTTGCTTTTCATTGTTTTGTGAACCAACCACACAGCTTAACAGCTATGTATCACATATATGATAGACTACGTTCCATTTTGTTACAAGTATCTAGCAGTGATTAGAAGAATGCATGTGGGCTATACACAAATACCGAGCCATTTTAAGAGAATTCATTCATAAGAGAATTCATCTTCTGAAGGTTTCATATGAAGCTTGGGTTTTCTGGAAGTGATCTGCTGATAAGGGATCTCTCTCTCTCTCTCTCTCTCTCTCTCTCTCTCTCTCTCTCTCTCTGTGTGTGTGTGTGTGTGTGTGTGTGTGTGTGTGTGTGTTTAGGATGCCACCAGTCCTGAAATCTGAAGAAAGAAATCACAATATTTTCTTGGAAATACTAATGAGACATCCCAGGAAACATGATACTTTGGACCAAGGTGTGGAAAGAAAAGGAATTCTTGAGAAATTGCAGGGACAGGTCACACACAGGGAGTTCTCTTGTTGAGGAGTAGCTGGCATTCAACACTAGAATACCTATCTCTAAATCCTGTTCTGGCTGCTTACTAATTTATGGCCTCAAGATAGGCAATGAGCTTTTATGTGCCTCCATTTCCCCAAATATAAAAACGCGTTTAATAGTATTCACTTCATAGGACTGACAAGGAGGCAACAGCTTTGAAAGCCTTGCATCTCCTAAACACTGGATATGTGTACACGTGTATGTTTGTACACATGCATATTTTATATGATATATATATATACATATATTACATATTAACATATATATATATTGAATATCAGATGAAGGACTGAGTGTACACAGTGAGAGTGATGACAAGGGAGCTCTGCAGGGCCAGGTTGTAAACTTTAAGGAACTTTGAATTTGGTCTTGTAGAAATCCAAGAGCCATTGAAAGTTTTAAAAATGATTCTTATGTGAAAACACAAATAAATTTACTGTCTTATCCACATGCAAGTGCAGTGAAGTGGCAGTTAGTTAATCCACAGTGTTATGCCCCCTTCACAACTTCAATGTGGGTTTTTTCAATTAGAGAGAGCCTTATGGTAGCATTTTTAAAGACATTGATAGCAGTGAGAGGGCTATAAAAATCACTGGACCACCTCCTAGCCAGTCTGTACCTGGCAGGACAGTGCCTTTCTGAGATGGAGAAGGCACCTCTCGGCCTCATCTGAATACAAAATACTTTAGAATTTGCCAGTAGGTAGAAAGAGATGGCCACTCTGTTATTTGAGACCTAGAGACCATCTATTTCAAACTATAAAGGCCTCCACCTCTGGGGTAAACATCATAGTGGGTTTGGAGAACTATGGATGAGGAATAATCTTGAACATTTGTGTTCAAGATCTTTGTCTGATTTTCTTTGGAGGAGGGGAGGGAAATAGGCAGTTACCAGGAATGACTTTTTGTGGAACCTGGAGGTTCCTTTGGAAGCCCTTCAGAAAAGGATGTAGAAGCCAGAGCTGAGGATTCCCAGCGAGCTGTGTTCTTCCCTTGTCCCTCACCCTACATGACATGGTCAGTTTTATATATCAGAATACCATGAGAGAGTTCATTTTGACAAAAAATTCTAAAAAAACAAACAAAAAAGGAAGGAAAATAAAACCCAACCCAACCTCAGACCCTGTTTTGTTGGTGTGTTTTGCATTTGTTCAGTAAGCAATACTCCCCAAAGGTGTGTGGTGGAAGACGAGGGGGAGCTGACTGAAAACACTTTGCAAGCTGTAGAGAGACATGCAAATTCTCTAGAAATTATTATTAGGATTTTTCTCCCATAGGGGAAGGGCTTGTTGTCTCTTCCCGATAGTTCAGCCAGGGGCTGAGACAGCTTGCCCTGGTGCCACAAATGACTCATTTTCAATAATAGACTAAGTCAAGCTAGTCCTTGGGAATTCCTGGATTATCTCTGGGTCTCCTGTCATCCCCTTTTTAGACACCTCACTCATGCCATGGGCCACCATGTCTTGTCCATCTTCTCCTTTGCACCTCGATAAAAGTGAAAATCCTTAAAGTAATTTACTTTAGGCATTTGCTATCAGTTATCCATCCCATCGGTCATCTTTTGTATGCCAAAAATGGACGTGGGAAACTGAAATGGAGAGCTTGAATTGGTGGGGCTTGTCATGAGATCACAGGATTTGGAAAGAAGCCAGAATGCAGTCATCAGCCTTGGGCTGAGAAAGGCCAAGTCTGAGCATCAGTCACTTTACCTCTGGGAGATTTGGGTTCAAAATGAGGGTAAGGAGACCATTTTCATAGCTTAGGAATACTGAGAAAAATAAGATATAATGATTAGCCTCTGGGATGCCTGACTGGTGGAGAGAGCAATCACCATCCTATGAACTGCCTGTATTCAGGGACATGATTGTACATCAATTGTAGTAGCTGACGTATTCCAGTCTCTGGCTTTATCTATCATGATCCATAAATAAGCACTGTACAAATGCATGAGTGATTGCTGCTTTCTTTTTTCCCATCACAGCTTATGGGATGTTTCAGAAGCCACATGAGCTCATAGGTAGATCCATTTAGGCAACTTGAGGATTGCTGAACTCATTCAGACAGCGCTCTCTGTAAAGTGGCCAGTTTAGCAGCCTGCAGAGACACCTGTTTACATGAGCAGATCAGATATTCTTATAGAAACACGAGGGCCTGATGGCTTCTGATGAATGATAATAAATCTCTTCTTCTTAAGCAAAGAAAACTAAAAATCTAGACCAAATGTGAGTGGAAGTATGAAAGGCAAGGCTAGGAGACTCAGAGATGGATCATGAGTGGTACAAACACTGAACAACGTTTCAGAGACAAGAATTGGTCTGTCAAGGTAAAGGTAAAAGTACCATTCCCGTTAATACTGAATTCTCAATGGAATTCATTCTTCTTTCACAATCACAAGGTGAGTTCTACACATGCAAATGAGAAACTCTCATGAAATAATCATTAGTGGAATCTAACAAACCAGTAACTAGGGATGAGTGAATCTTTATGATAAATAAATAACTTTGAATGGCTATTATTCAGCTACAAGTGATCACAGAGTTGGACCTTAGGATTAATAAAACTTTCAAATTATGCCAAACTCAGTAGTTGCTGTGACTGCAGCACTCTGGGAATGCTTAAGGGGACAGAGGAGCCTAGATTCTAAATTGGTCATGTCAGTCACAAAGCTTTCACATAGAACATTTGGGGCTAAGAAAATAGCACCCAACCCCAGAGCTGCTTGGTAACCAACTTAGAAGTGTGAACATTTGAGAATAGGATTTGAATTATTTGTTCTCTTTCTTCATGCACGCATGCATGAATGCATTGTACAACTACTAAATAGTGAACACATTTTACACATTCTTGGTTTTTAAATAATTAGCCATAATAATTCCATCATCACAATTGCCATCACCAC